TCTGTTTATATCTTCAATTTAAAAGCATTTATCCAAAATTTATAAATACTTATGGTTTTAATTTAACAATAATTTTTCTCGTATATATTATTTGTTTGTAAAGTATGTAGATTTGCGTTGTAGTAGTGTATCCTTTAATAGAAGTAATCTGTAGTGTCATATGGTATGGTTGGTGCATAATTAATGTTCTATTGTATGGTATAGTATTGTATAATATAATATTGTCAAGTTGTATTATATAATATTATTATATTGTTTTATGTTATATTATATTATGTTAAAATTTATTATGTTATATTATATTATTTGGTGGGTAATATTCCTTTCAATTTATGTTTTTTGTGTAGATAGTATTTATATATATGATAAAAAGATTACTTTGATTCAAGTACAATAAATTGATTTACTAATTTTATATTGTAATAATCAAAAAGTATTTGTAAACGTAAATATTTTTATTTACATTAATAAAATGTAAATTTGTATTTACACTAAATTTGTATTTGGATAGAGCCAGAATATTCTATTTTATTCTATATCCACAATTATTTTTATGTTTAAAGTAAAGCAACTACTTGATAGATACTCCACGAAAAAAAAAGTCTTCATCCTACGCCTCCTTGTATTGATGAGCATGTCAGTTAGAGCCATATCTCTCATATCTCTCATTAGTAAGTTAATATGTCCATGTGAACTTACTTGTCAAATCCACTTTTACCCAATATATCCAATGAATTTCGTCGTTTATAATATATATGTGTGTGTGTGTGTGTGTGTGTGTGTTATGGTATATATATGTGTGTGTGTGTGTGTGTGTGTGTGTGTATTATTTGATTTATTTATTTATTTCAATTATGAGCTCCCCTGTTACAGAATATTAGTTACAATCTTTAAATTATGGAAAATTATAGCATTTCTATGTTTTAAAGTAAGTTTGTGTTCTGAAGCAGTTCTCCAACATTTTTGGCCCTCGTGCCCTATTGGGATCTCCACTGAAAATATATTCTGTGAAAATATATCAAATTTCAATATTTTATTCAATACGAATAAATTCTAACTTGTATTTTGTTTTAGAATCGATGTTTTGAATAAAAATTAGTTACTAATACTTAACAAATTCAGTTAATCTATGTAAAGTATTGGTGTAACCAATATACTTTTGCATTTAACTCTCCTAATTTTTATTCAGTTTGCCATTTTTCACTTTGCCATCTCGAAAAACCTGATAATTAAAATTACGACGTTTAAACACAAGGATATTCATAAATATACTTGGACATCACCGGATTCGCAAACATGAAATCAAATCGATCATGTCTTGATACAACACAGCTGGCAAAACAGTATAATTAATGTACGGTCTTATCGCGGAGCAGAATGTGGGTCGGATCATGAATTAGTAATCGCGAAACTTCGACAAAAACTTAATATAAAAAAGAGAAAAGAAAACCGTTTCGATTATGAGAATTTTAATTTGAAAAAATTAAAAAATCCATCAATTAGAAACCAATTCGAGCTAGATGTTAAGAATAGGTTTGAAGCTTTAGAGCTTCCTGACGAGGACCACGAGGATATTGACAAGTTATGGATAGAGATCAGGGATAATATTAAAGCGGTCGGTAACTCGTGTCTAGGAAAAAAGGAAAATAAGAATAACAAACCGTGGTTTGATGAAGATTGCTTAAACATGTGTGAAAAAAGAAAAGCCGCTAAATTAAAAGCTCTAAATAATCCTAGCGAAGACAATCTGGAATACTTCCGAATCTCAAAGAACGAAACGACAAAATTGCTCAAAAATAAAAAAAGGGAGTATCTTAAAAATAAAATAATTGAAATAGAAACTAATAGAATCGAAAATAACGTAAGAGACCTGTACAAAGGTATAAACAGATCACGTAAATATGTAGGGCCCGTAACGTCTGGAATTAGGGATGATAATAACAATATTCTGGACGATCCGTTTGACATATTGAATAAGTTTAAGGACCACTTTGACAATATTTTAAATACGGTAAATTATGATCTGTGTCCCCCTTCTGAGTACCAGAGTGCTGAACCGTTAATAGAAGGACCAAGTAAAGAGGAAGTTGAAGTAGCTCGGAAAATTAAAAACATATAAAGCAGCGGGAATCGATAATATTCCTACTGAACTAATTAAGGCATGCGGGAAAGCTGGAGTTTCTAAAATACATCGGTTGGTTAAAAAGATCTGGGTGAACGAGAAATTACCTGAAGAATGGAAAGAATCTATTCTTATTCCGACTCACAAAAAGGGTCCGAGGACGGATTGTAATAACTATCGAGGAATTTCACTCCTTCCGGTATGTTATAAAATATTCACTTCAATCTTAACCAGTCGAATCACGGAATACGCCGAGGAAATTATCGGAGACTACCAATGCGGATTTAGACGGAATCGTTCGACAATTGATCAAATATTTTCTTTACGGCAAATATTAGAGAAAAAATTGGAGTATAACGGTATTGTTCACCAGCTGTATATAGATTTTAAAAAGGCTTACGATTCTATTGACCGCCAGAAACTGTATAATATTCTAATCGAGCAGGGGATTCCAAAAAAACTAGTAAATCTAGTCAGGATGTGCTTGACGGAGACACTCAATAAAGTTAGAATCGGTAATAAATTGTCCGAAAAATTTGAGGTTCGTTCGGGCTTAAAACAGGGGAATTCTCTTTCGCCTGTCCTGTTCAATTTGGCATTAGAACATGCCATTAGGGAGGTAATGCGAACCGAGAAAGGGTTGGATCTGGGCGGGACAACATCCGTGCTGGGCTATGCTGATGATCTTGTACTGTTAAGCGAAGACGTTGAAATTATAAAACTAAATACGACAACGTTAATGAAAGCCGGTAAAGAACTAGGACTCGAAATAAACTTGGATAAAACAAAATATATGGTTAGCTGCAAAAATGGCGATACTACTGGTGATATCGATATAGATGGTAATATGTTTGAACAGGTAGATAAATTTAGGTATCTAGGTTCTACGATAACTAGAAAAAACGAAATTGAAGAAGAGATTAAGTTTAGACTGAAGGCGGGGAATGCTTGTTATTTTTCTGTGACAAAACTACTTAGTTCGCGCCTCTTGTCCCGAAACTTAAAAATTAGAATCTATAAAACAATTATCTTGCCTGCAGTTCTTTATGGATGCGAAACTTGGCCGCTTACATTAAGGGATGAGCAGCGTCTTAAGGTTTTTGAAAATAAAGTATTGCGTAGAATATTCGGACCGAAGAAGGATGAGTTAACCGGAGAGTTCAGACGGTTACACAACGCCGAATTGCGTGAGATGTATCCGGGTAATATAATTGAGGTAATTTCATCGCGGCGAATCAAATGGGCTTGTAAAGTTGTTGGGCTTACGAGAGAATTCCTAAAAGGTTAATATTTGCTGTGCCGAATGGTAAGCGTCCGAGGGGTAGACCGAAGCGAAGGTGGGAAGATTGCATTAAAGCCGATCTGAAGGGACTGGGTTTGGACGGTGAACGGTGGAGGGAGGTGTGTAACAAGCGATTGGTGGTGTCGGCATCGAACCTTCGGGTTCGCTAAGCCTTATTATTATTATTAATTTTTTTCAGGCTCAGTTAGGTTTCTCCTATCTAAAAAAATACAGTAAGATCTCCATAGCAATAAGCTAATAGGCAAAGACCAAGACCAAGACCAAGACTCGTATTGGTCTCGCATTTGGGCAACACTAGTTCTAGCTGCTAATTGAAATCAAGAGTTTGAAGCATCTATTCTGGTGATACCTACCCACTAACACATAATTAGGCACCTTAAATCTAGTTTTAAAACATGAAAAAGAAATTGCTGAACAAGAATACTTGCAAGAAGACCCCGTTCCTACAAGATTTATTTCTTCATTAGATAATTATCTTATCACAAGAACAAGGTTTTTGGTGTAAATCCATAAGTTATGGTAATAATTTGAAAAATTAAATATTTCCTAAAGAACTATGATCATATTTAAATATTAAACGCCAATTTTTTTTCCATCTTTAACGGAGGAAGTTTTTTTTTATTTATTTATTCAGCATTACAACAATCTGTCTCTTGGGCATTAGTTATGGTGAGGTAGGATAACATTCTCACTATATGTACAGAAGCATATAAAATAAATAGAAGCAAAATAATAATCAAATAGTATATACAATAAATAAAATAAAATAAATTAAATCAAAGCAAAAAACACATGCATACCTCTATACACTATTTATAATCAGGCTAGAGAACTCTGAAGCAGGCTTGTCCCTCCAACTATGGAGGAAATATATGGACTCCAGGAGAACCCTGTACTAATCTCTCAACCGAATCAATGGTACTAAAGCACTTTAGCCACATACATTCATATCTTGAGTGGAGAATCTGGCCATTGCCAGAACTCCAATATATTCAATCTACAAAAGGTCGCGGGACCACTGCCGTTTCAACCTTCTTGGAGGACTATAGGGATGGGTAGTGCTTGATTGGGATTGTGTAAGAGGATTTGTATGTTACATAAGGTTCTGGTGAAATTTGGAGTATTTTTCTGCGATAAGGTCTAGGACAAATGGGATATTGAGGTCATGATGTACAGTTTTTAACGTAGAAAACATTTTGTTTACGTAGAAAGGAGCATCGACTATTGTTCGAAGGACTTTTGACTGGAAGGATTGGATGAGTTTGATGTTAGAAAATTTTGCTGTTCCTCACAGTTCTAGTCCGTAAGTCCAATTAGGTTTCAGTATTGTCTTGTAGAAAAAACCTTGTTCTATAAATGACATTTCAGTTGTGAAATGAGCTGGATACAAAAAATGAGATATATATATATTTTTTTTTAATTTAAGTTTCACTCAGCTGATTGTTATTATTCCAAAGTTTGTAATAATAAGAAATGTTGTATTATATATTTTTTAAATAAGGTTTACTTACTAATATCTAGAAAATAAATTATACAAATTTTTTTTTGGAAAAGGGAAACAAAAAAAGTGCTTTAATATATTTTATTTAATTAGACAGCTATAATTTAGAGAGATAGCATTCAGTGGTTTTGTGACCTCTTCCTGCGGGCAGTGAGCCAGAGGGGCTCCTCCTGGTGGAGCAGCAGGTACCTGTTGAGGTCGCCCTCGGGGCAGGGGCTGCTCAGGCCCCGCCCGCGGTGGGCCCAGAACGGAGGTGGCTCTTCCTCGCTGGAGCTCTCGCTCCGCCGCCCCCGGCTCGGCCAGAACCCGGGCTCCGCCGGCCCGCTCAGCACAGCCCGCATCACGTCCGTCCTTCTCTCCTCGCAGCAGATCCGCTGCAACTACAACAGAATAACACATTAACATTGATTTATTGAAGTTTGGTGGTGATTATTGATCAATCTAAAAACTAGAATATTACCTAATAGTCAGTAATTTTCTCTATTCGACATGACTTAAAACATAAAACACAAACATGTCAATCATAATAGTTGTAAGCATTAAAATGAAACATTTCCTGCTGATTTTATTACAATTTTGACAATATACCACGACTAAGTTTACGGTATCGTCTACTCGGCGGGACTGATTTTTGGATTGAAACACGCTACACTAACACTCAACCGACGGATGAGTGAAGCCCAAAAATTAAAGCTAATTAATTGCACATAAATTCATTATGTGAGCATAAAGCATTCGCGAGCAAAACAATCTCCTCAATCCCTTACAATCTGGTTTCCGTTCCCATTATTCCACCCAGTCTGCCTTGCTAAAGATTGCCCAAGACCTCCAATCCGCAAACAGAAAATCTTTCCCATAATCATTTTTGACTTTTCCAAAGCGTTTGATTTTATCAATCATGAGATCCTTCTTTCCAAACTCCAAAGCCTGCCCATATCAAATAGCGTCCTAAGATAGTTCCTCTTCTTCTTATCCAATCGATCTCAGACAGTTGTGATTCCGAACAAACCTCCAACATCACCTCTTCAACTTATACGAAGTGTTTAGGGTTGATCACCCTAAATTGATGTTACTCCCCTCCCCTTCATGGGGTACATGTAAAAGACCAGCAAAGTAGGTAACACTGCAGCGACGGTGGCGCAGTCTGCACAAGAACTAGTAGTAAGAGAAAAAATGGGCGACTGACACGAGTAGAAGACGATTTATCTCCCCTCTTCAAGACTACTTTTCATGCTGTTCTACCATGGGAAGAGGCATGGAGTAGAACACGGGGACTTACAGGACCCATGGAGGTGAGAAGAGTAGCAGCCGGTTGACCACCGATACCGACCACCGATACCACCACCGTACCTCAGTCAGCATCAAGTAAACGATTGTAACCTTTTATACGCCAAACTCCCATCTCTATTCAATGTTTAAATATAATTATAGTTCATTAAATACAGTCCACTTGTTCATTTCAAAGACCCAATCATCTGTACCATATCATATTAAAAATGATGGTACATCCCATTTCACGAGGTATTTATCAGGGTTCTTCGCTCTCCCCGACCCTTTTCTCTATTTATAATAGTGACCTTCCTCACGTCATTTAATACTTCTCTTGCCACCTATTGCCGATGATTTCCAAATTCCAACCTTCTCAGATGCCTGAGGCTGTCCGAAAGCTACAAGAGGATATCGACTGCATCAACAGCTGGGCAGAAATAAATGAATTAAAACTGAATGTAGATAAAACTAAGGCAATTCTCTTCAGGTCCAGACATCTCATTATTTCCCTTCCTTACATTCCTCTACTTCACCTCAATAACCGTCCCATCAATTTTTTCCCTATAGTCAAAAATGTAGGAGTGACCTTTGACCAGAACCTCTCCTGGAATAACCATATCTCCCATATTACCCGAAAATCCATAACTATCCTTAATCAACTCCTAAGATTCCGTGATTGTATTCCTCTAAAAACCAGACAGCTCCTTCTAACCTCCCCTCCTCCACTTCCTCCACTATTCCTCCACTTCCAGGCTAGAAATGCGACTGCAAAAACTAGTGAACTGTTTCATAAGATACATCTTCGGGATCCTCAGGCGTTCACATTTTTCAGTCTGTTACACCTAGTTGAAGTGGCTTTATCCTACTTCCCGACGACAAATATCCTTGGTGTTTTCCTTTTCCAAGTTCTCAGAACCAAAAACTCTCTCTACATCAACTCCTTACTCTACGTTCGTCTATCCACTCGCTTATTACCATAAATCTATAGATTTATATATCTCCTCCCATAAAACTACTTACTTCAGCAAATCCTTCGTCATTTGTACTACCTCCTTTTGGAACTCTCTTCCTACCTCCATACGCCAATCCTAGTCCATAAATTCCTTCAAACAACTCCTTTTCCACAACCTATTCCACATTCAAACTTCCACTAACATGTAAAATTACTTGCATCTGTATATTTTTTAATTTCAATCTACTGCACAATTGCAATAAAAAGCAGCAGTTAATTAGTTTGTATTTTTTATTATTCTAAGCCAGACAAAGACCCATCAATTTGTAACTGTTATTATTCTTAGAGGACTGTAGGCACAGAATAAAGTTATTTTTTCATTTCATAAATTAACATACAGAAGACTTTTTTGACTGACCAACAGCAGATACCCGACCATCAGGTCAGCTTTCGCAATTTCTATTCGATGATACATCAATTACATAGAGTTACTGACTACATTGCTGGAGCTTTAGAACAAAAACAATATGCAACTGGTAAATTTCTTAATGTCGCTCAGGCGTTTGATACGGTCTGGCACCAGGGTCTTCCTTTTAAATTAAGACTATTTATTTTTATTTATTTATTATTTAGCGCTACGGTCCTACAAGAACCAGGGCCTCTCTTACTTATACTACACAGTCATGTTCTTATCCTTCAATCTTTCCTTTTCGACCGATTTTTTTCAGTTTGGCAGGTCTCGTAGATTTCTTAATTTCTTCCTTGGCAGAAATTCTCCAAAGTTCAATACTGACCCCTATACTTCACAATGTATACACTTACAATATAACTGTTAACTACTTAAGCCTCACAAGACATCAAGATCCTCGAAATTCATCATTAACTTTTCAAGACCATGTACTTTAAAGACTGGTTCAAACTAACTCTCCTTCCCCATACCTGACATGTCATAATTTCCTGTTTTGCTATTTCATTACCTGATTGTTATAATACTGATTTATAAAGATTGAAACAATCAAAAAATAATCTGTTAGTATTATTTCATAGATATGCTCATGGATTTCTTGCCCGAATTATCGATTAAATATATAAATAGGTTTATAGAAAATAGATAGAGCTAAGACAGGACTAATAGGTTTCCGAGAGGGAGAGGGAGTGAGTAAGGGAAGCCGACACACCTGTTGAGCAGCCCAACTAACCCAGTTAGCTGACATTAAGTGAGTTAGCTGACCGGCAAAGAATCCCTCCACTCCAAACTGTCCCGCTAAAAGTTTAAATCTCATTTTGTCCAAATTCAGTTTTATATTTATCGGATGTGCGTCATTTTACCTCAGTGTTAAATTTAGAAGGCCCTGTTTGAGGTTAAAAGGCTGGAAATTCTTTTGATAAATGAGGCTTTTAATTTAATTTTAATTCTATACGCTCTCAGTTTTTTGTTTTTTTTTTTAACCGAACAATCTAGTACTCTCGTAGCTTTTTTGAATAAATGGTTTCCTCAGCAATAAACGATTGTTTTTTAATCTGAAAGAGTTGTTATAATGATGAGGATAGCTAATAAGTAAGTATACATAAATATGTTTGTATGTATGTTATATATCCACGCAGCGATCGAAGAAGAGATTAATAATGGAAGAGGGCTAATAAAAAACCTCTTGCCGAAACTGATTGTAAGTATACCCACGATTTGCAGACCAATATGTTATAATAGGTGGATTATTTAGTTACTGTGTTTATATTCTGTTATCTCAGTAGACTGCAAATCTTTGGCAGACCATAGTATGGTCTTCTCCAGATATACAACAACGTATATATTGCATGAGAACCATAGACGCAAAGTTCGGGGGGAGGGTCAAAAATATCGGTTTCCCTTCCTCCAATAATTTGAAGTAAAAAAGAACAGATTTGCCTCAGCCGATACATCCAAAACCTTACGACTCAATAGGGCAAATGGTAAACATGGTAGTGAAGGAAGAAATAAGAAAAGCACATTTGGGCAAAGTGGAAGGGAAACGTTATGAGTGTTTGAAGGATAATCCGATTCCAGCTGAGCTGCCGGGAAGAGATGCAGTTGCCTGCTTCCGCCTGGCCACTGGTCGTGACTATCTGCACACATGTTATGCCTTGAGGGACATAAGAGAAAAAATATTCCTTTTATTCTTGACTCTATATTATCTGCATATTATTGAATATTATGTAATCTGAACCAGCCTTGAATCTTTCGGTATTATCTTGTATCTGTGATCCTTCAGTATTTAATGGTAGGCAAAGCCCGCATGACCTATCGCTTCTGCCAAATGGTAGAGTTTAACGCCTGGAACACACTGGTCATTATTCTGTATTGAACATTTTTAGTTTTCGAATAAAAAATTATATTCCTTTATTAATAATCGAGGAGCAAACGTCTTATTTTTACCTTCTGTGGGATTTTTGCGTTGGGAAAGTGCAGTACGGGCTTACCTTCAAGTACAGTAGTTTCATTTTTGTGACGCTAAAAGTCCAAGATGGCCTTCATTATTTTTTTTTTTATAATGACCCTAAGAACGAATTTTATCCTTACCAATTTTGTGACATCTTTCGTTTGGGAGTTTTTATCCATTAAACATGTCACAATTTGCTTAGAACATACTTTTTCATAGTTGATTCATAAAAATCAAAACGAGGCAATATGGAGATAATCATAAAGAAATTTCTCATAGAAACACATTACCTTCATAAAAAATGCTCGACTACGTTTCATAAATTAGGTTTGTTTTATTTATTTATCTTCTATTATATTTTTTTTTCTAACTTAATATATTACGAGTATATTTTTTTAACTTTATTTCTTACCCAGAAAAGAGAGTACAGAAGTACTGACAATGAGCGAGTCTGCTGTCAGTAAAATACTAATAGTGGCTTGATTGTCGAAAGGGAAAGGAGTGCCCAGCGGCATCCCTTCTTGAGCCTCCAAAGGGTGTTTTCAGTCATGTTATTCATGCCCATATCTTGTATCAGTGTGTTAGTATGCCTATGTAAGTTATTGTGAAATTTTTTGTAGTGTGTCCATATATGGTCGTTAACGGCATGTTTAGATCTTTATGTAAAGTAATGTCTGTGACGTTCCACGGAGATTTAGTTATAGTCCTAAAAGTTTTTGACTGAAAGGTTTGTACTTTTCGAATGTGGCTCGTTTTGGCTGATCCATATATTTGAGAAGCGTAGGTCCATATTTGTTTTAGTGGATAAATGTAGGTGTTCAGTTTGTGTTTATTTTTAATTTTGAACATTAATTTATAACGTAACGAGTATACAAAAATTAAAATAGTATGAGTGACATTCAAGTCCATCCAGTAATAAAGCATGTTGGTGTTAAGATTTCTTGAGCTAGAAATTATTCAATTTAATTGGGGTTATGTTTACATACCGTTCCATCCCTCTTTTTAACTCGGTATTTTACGTTATGATATAGCATTCATAAAATGTATTATTTCTCTAGACATTTTTATCTGACCGATTCACTTTAATAATATTACATTTATCATTGGCTGATAAAATTTTCCTGCTTGGAATGATCTAACTAAAAATGTTTCGCCTTATTATTATGCCCATTTGAATCACTTACTCGTTCAGAAATGTTTGCGCGTTTGATGAAGTGATACAATAAAGTAGTATAAAATACTGTTGTCGAGACCTGTTGATTATGAAAGAAACTTATACCTCATTGGGAGAATATATAGGAAATATTATGCATGAAATAGTTCTATTACTATTTCTGTTACGAATTTTTTTTTACTTTTTTTTTTATAAAAATAAAGAGGCCATCGCTGGTTATGAAGTGGCTGCCGTGAATCGCTATAAATATCACAAAGGGGGCAGGAGCTACCTCCTACTCCCCCGCAGGCCCTAATCCTTGCTGATCCTTTGAAGGTAGTTTGTCTTGCGATAATTCCATTTGTGTTCCTTTGTTCTTGGTCCTTGCTGATCGATCCCAGGTGACATTAATAACCTCTGATCCGTCATCGACTACCGCTATATCAATCAACTTGTTCTCAACATGGCGTGGTTTGTTCTTGCACCCTCCTTTTTTTACCGCATTACAAAGTTATATAGATATTTAAAAAATGTAAGCAAGTTTTTTAAAAATCTTTCAGATGAAATAATTATCTATGAATAACCCATCACATTGAATTCATGCTTTGACATAAAAGCCTCTTTAAATTTACCAGAGAATTTAAGGGTTGTATAGGTTTCTCTTTAGTACAATATTATTTATTTTAACCCTACCGTACCATTCTGTCAGTTTGCAGTTTTTGCAGAACTGGATGGTTACGCTTTGCTGTATAATGTCCTTCTCCTGCAATGAAACCAATTTTCTTATTATAATCAGGAGTGTTTCTTTTATCTTCTTTTGGGTGCCTTATTATTCTCCTCGTCGTTCCGGCGGTCTTCCAAGATCGAGTCCTCTTTTTGTGAAGTTGAAGTATGCTGGGCCTGCCGCTTCTTTCCACACATACACAACTTCTTTGTAGTACGGATAGTTCTCTTTGTGGATAGATCTTCCAAAGATTTTGTGTACGGTTAGAAAGCTGCTCTGAGGCCGTCACACTTTAATCTGGGAAGAAGAGAACCTGCTTATAGAAGGTAGCCAGGCAGGTGAAATAGAATTAAGGAAACAGAAGAGTTTTTGAAAAAAAAAAATTGTTGTAATAATTGTCGTTTAATATCAGAAAGGACATTGATGTTTGCGATATGCCATCCATGCAAAGTCTGGTGTAGCCGAAAGGGAAGAATAAATAAATAAATAAGTTCTCTTCTGCTACTAGCCGATGGAAATCGTTGTCTGTGAGAACATAGAAACCGGTTTTCCCCAAAAATTTGGCCCTTAGCGAATCAAAGGTGGATAATTATATTCAATTGTATTTATATTATATTTATATTTATATGATAATTATATTATCAATTATATTTAACTTCTGAAATCATCAGTCAAGACGGTCCATCGGTGGGCTCAGCACTGAGTTGAGAAACTTTCCCTATGTCTATACGAAATAGGAAGAGGTAACTGAAATTTGAATTGATATTTTTTAAAGGATATATAGTCGATTTATTTTAAAAAATCACTAAATGTCTTTTTGATATAGGTTAACTTTCAACTACGTTTTTGTTAATTTATACCTTATTTATTGATACAAAAACACTCTAATTTCATGTAAATGACGCAAACCGCATTTTTCATCACATATAATTACCCTAAGTGCATAATCTTATGATTTCACTGATGAAAAATTCATCAAATTGCTTAATTTTTTTAGGTTATGAAATGTCACTTAATAGCTTCTCATAATAAACCGGCGATATATTTTAAGCTAAAAAATATCATTATTTGGAATCAAGGCTCCAAAACAAATAAGTAATTCATCACTGGAGTACTGCTAAAGAACAATCAAACTGGTTATGATCGAAATAAGTGGGGAAAACTGAAATTTGAATTCTCCAATAACGTACTGTTACAGATATCATCCCATGTTGAAAAACCAAATACTACATCCGTTCAAAGACAATATACTTGATTTATGTGCCCACCATTCTACATTGTAAAGAGAGTCTAATTTTATCCACAAGTATTTCTTGTTACTTGGCCATTAACCTTTCCTTTTTTTGGGCTTTAAGACTCAGCCAATTATCAGACAGTTACCGAGAAACATAACTTCGTTTAATAAAACTGATAAAATTTATTAGAGCTTTTGTCAAGGTTCTTTCAACCTTTAACTAAGAAACAATATTAATCACTCTCACAAAAAGGACCCTTGTCTCAAGCAAGGGTCACTGAACGCTATTTAAAAATGACGATGTATCAAAGTTATGGACAATTTATTTTTAACTTTGGTTAAATAGCTATCATTTATTGCCAAAACAATAAATTAAACTTGTCTTCATTATTTACGGAACATCTTAACTAGATTTATAATGGTAAGAATGATCTGGAAGCTATTTTTGTGGCACAGAAACTCACTAAGTTCAAGCATAAAAAAGATTCACTTTATTTATTTAATTATATTATGATTTACTAGATTTATTTTTTTATACAATTTTGAATATCATACTAAATAATAAAAACATGATACTATAGTCTCACTAATATTCGAAACTAATAGATAAATATACAAGTAGATAGATTTTTATCCTAACTATTATAACTTATTATTTTTTATTACGTTAAGTAAGTAATAAAACATTGCACGCACACAGTATACAAGTATTGTTAGATCATGTTTCGACATCATAAAAGCTTTCCCGTGATAAATTCCATTTTTATTAATCTTTCATTATGAAATTGTATTTTTTCAATTATATTTTATTTTATTTTTAATAAAATGATAATACTGATATCTGAGTAAAATTCAAAAGAACTGTTGGAAGAACTCACTCTTATAAAATGTAGTTCAATTCAGGTTAGAAGTTGGTGATGGTTATGGGTATATCCCTAATCCACGATTGTGCCACGTACTTTATTTGCTTAATGCAAATGTATAATCAATGATATGGAAAGCTTATATTTTACTTAGTTGTACTTTCTAAGAATAAGCTTAGAGATTTTTAAAGTTTATTGAAAGTGAACAAGTTGCACTACCCGCGGAATGCTAGAATGTATGTGACATACCTGGAGGGTGAGGAGGATGATGAGTACCAACGACGGAATCGGAGACATTTCTGAGACGTGGAGGGTCCAGGACAGGAGTTAAATAGGAAGTAGAGGTGAGGGTGGGAGTACATCCTGAGGGAAATCTTAAGAGATTAGCCAGGGCGAGATCTGACAGAAAAGGACTTAATCTGGTCAGTGTGGCTAATTCCTTTGGTCTCTTCTTGGATAAGGTGGGTCTCTTTTCGCTCTATCTAATGTGTCCCTAATGTGATGGTAATGGTCTCCCTGATAGCTTTTAAATACCCATAGTTTCACTTACTCTTATGTATGTATATTTAAATATATATACCAAGGTCACTAAAACCGAACTTAAGTTTTCTTTTACTTATCTACACTATTTCAGTTGGTATCTTGATTGACATATTAATCATCTACCTGACACTAGAGGCTGCTCCTTGATTCGATCTTTAAAAACCTCCAAATTTCGTTCATTTTTAATCATTCCCTTTGCTAATTGTCAAGAAATAGGCTAATATTAATTTTGCTACAGTTATAATAATATATTGCAATTAAGCGGATTCCTTTTTTTTTTTCTTCGGATTTCTTACCCTGTTGGTTCATCGGCCATTAACATCACAACTTTTAATTCACTTGTTAAAACTTACTGATTTCAATAAATCAAGAGTTCTTTTGACAGCTTGTTTGTCTCCTTCGAACATATCTTTCAGTGATAGTAGTATATCTAATTTTTGAATCATGAGTTTGACTGTTTGGTTTTCAAATCTTAAAAATTATGCATTAATTTCGCACTGCTCCATCCTTAATCGCCATTGGCGAGTTTCTTTCCTTCTGATTAAGTTGAAAGTTTTCCAAGTCCTATGTTTTGTTGGAAGTTTTCCATTTTGAAGAATTGACCTTTCATTTCTTTTAGTTTTGTCTTTTCATGTTCGCTAATGGTTTGCCCTATTTTCTAAATTTCTTTATTTCAAATTTAGTAAGTCTTCTCTTCACTACTGAATTTTATTGACTTTTGTTACCGGGATTGTTTCTGGCTTGCTTCCCAAACTAGCCGGCTTATCTGCTTGTTCATTACCGGAGATTCCGCATTAAAATATAATTAATTCCGTTTATTTACAGTCACAATTCTTTTTTTGATCCAGTTTAAAGAGTTACACTGGAGAAATATTTAAACTTGGCCTATTCTGTTTCATAATTTTATTTAAAGTATGGTGCCCTCTAATGTTTTGCACATCGCCTTCCGGTACGATAAAAGTTTCTTAGCCACCACTATCACTTTAGATAGTGGTATTGTAGATTTTATTTATTTCCATAAATCAAATTTTTTTACCGCCTGCTCGTCGTATTTTGACTTCTCCTCCCATGCTAGTGGCATATCTAATTCAAAGTGTAATTTTCTTTTAATTTAAAGTATACTTTTTATGAGACATCTGCAGATCAAGTACCGTGATGATATGTAATGTTAGATAACTGACAGCTTAAGTTGGAGAGCCATTTGATTACATTGTGGTTCCAAGAAAATTTAAGAGATGGGAGAAATTAATTATATATCAAGTCGAAAATATACTTTAGACTCGGTATGAAAAAGAGAAAAATTTAGATGGCGAAATTCAATAAGTTCCGACTTTTAAAAGACAATAAACCCAACCTGTACCAGACATCCCCACGTGTTCTCCAATCTCCGGTGCTAAATTGAATAACTTCCAGTCCCGCTTATTCTGGTGACATCTAAGAGAAACTTCCGAATAAAATCCTTCTTTTATAAGAGGATATCAATAAGAGAAGTGTGAATAATTGAATGATAAGGAAATATCGAAAGAGGATTTATGCAATTTTCCGGGTGAATATCGTAAATCCTGACTCCTCCCCATTAGCTCCCCATGTTCATTATAATTCAATAATTACTATTAAGAAGTATGGTGAACATTAATGTTAGTTTGTTACAAATTATAGTCGTAGATACGAGCTTAGCACTCTTGCTCAATCTCCACTGGGTTTAGCCCCAGTGACGTGGTTGAGAGAGAAGTGCAGGGATCTCCTGGAGTCTCCATGCTTTTCCCTCCACAGTTGGAGGAACAATTCTGGTTTGGAGTTCTCTCGCCAGATTGTAAATATTGTATATAGGTATGTATGTGTTATTTCTATTTATTTATTTTTAGGTTAGTTTATTCTTATTTATTGTATATATATTATTTTTCTGTATAGTTTATTTTATTTATTGTACATAGAGTGTGAATGTGATCTCTGAACACTATTATAAATGTCCTTGAGACATATTGCAATATTTTTCAATTAAAAAAAAAATAATAGAAACGAACTTAATTAAAACTTTAGTCACTTATCATTATAACGAGGAACAAAATGTCAACAAATTATAGTTGTTATTATAAATTAGGAAAGGAAACGATTGATGTCATATTTCTGCGACTTGTGATTTTAGGAATCCTACATACCTGCAAGTGTTTGTCTTTTTGTTTTAAAAATTAGAATTTTTCATACTTCAATTTGTGAAAAAAATTGTTTAGCTTTTATAAAATAACTAATAATTGTCAGATGAAATCCGCGAATCGCATTGGGACCCAACTGCCAACTAAATGAAAATTGCTCATAATCAATTGGTGCTGTTTTGACAGAAACAGCATCATTCAATAAAAAAATACATAAAGAGATAATAGGTACTTATAATAGGTAAGTACGAATAAGAATTATGTATTATTATAAAAATTATATTGCTTACGGAATCCTACGGGTGACACTATATTGCATGACTGTTGTATGGGTGGGACTATGTAGCATGTATATGCCCACTTCTAATCGCTTAAATAGATTATATAATAGTACAACTCAAAGTACCTTCAAATAAATCTTCCTCCCTGGTAAAAGTCCTAAGAGGTAAAGTTAGGGTGGTTGCCATAATTGTTACTTCCATTCCCCTCCTCCCCTCAAACCATAACACAGGTCTTAAATCTGAAATGCGAGCGAATGAAACGTTCAGAGCGTGTGTGGCTTGTAATACCGTTGCTTCTACTTGTACTGGATTCGAAGCAAGTGAAGGAGGCTTCTAAATATGTATTATAGTTTCTTCAGAGTCCGACCTTGTGCTTCTTGATGTCTTACCTCTGAGAAAACCCAATGGATTTATTCACGCTGTCATCTTTAAGAAAGATTTGTGTGCAGAAACAAAGTGTCAAATTTTTCGGGCAAGAGAGAACTCTACAGCTAGGATTAGAGACTAAATCCTTCCTGTTGAATTTTATACCTTAAGTTTTCTTGCTCGGTTACAACGATTATGTATTACTGTCCATTACTTCTCCTGTAATGCTTGGACAGGCCATAAAAATATCTATTGGCAGCATTAAATCTGTTGCTGACATCCTGTGATACATCGTTTCGAATATTCACTTTGTGCCTGATACACAAAAGTCTTTACCCTCTGATAAAAATAGGGGTCACTGCCCAGTAATCCAGCATGTATATAAAATAGGAGGCAAGCAAGGGCATTTCCTTGTCTTACTCCGCTACTGCTTTCAAATGTCTTGGAAAAGTTTTACGAAAAGTAATTCTGAAAAATCAGGTAATATGTTTTTAGCTGGTCAGTTTTGAGTTGACTTAAATCTCTAATCCTTGACTTCGTCAAATACCTGAAAGGTGTTCTTAAGGTACTAGTTCGCTGGCACTGCTCACCGCACCGACCGCGAACAGTTAAGCATTGCTTTAGTGGAATATAAAGGAGTGTATTTCGTTGGCACTACTAGGCAGTCTAAGTATGACGTCATATCTACCCTGCTCCTTTCTGACTACTCCCAAAGCAATGAAGCCGTTGGCGCTTTAGGTTATAGGTATCAGTTCGGCAGGCTTCGGAAATCTCTTCAGTTCGTGTAATCTTGGCAGGAGTTTCTCAAGGTTCAATACTAACCCCTCTACTTTACATTGTATACATTTACGATATACCTATTAACGATGAAACCTTAACAGCTACTTATGCAGGTGATACATCAGTTCTCTCAAAACATCAACACCCTATACAGGCCTCACTAACTCTACAACACCACTTACTTAAATTAAAACATTGGTTTAAACTATGGAAAATTAATCATGACAAATCCAAACATATAACATTTACTCTTCGAAAAACACCTGACCTCCGGTTTATATTAATAACGATAAAAATCCTCAAACAGTAATCTTTACCTCAAACGGACTCGGTACTTTACCTTCGACTCACCTTCGACCGAAGGATGACATTGGGCTCGCATGTTTAAATGAAACGTCAGACACTTAACAAATTACTCAAACTACTTTACCCTCTTTTTGCTAAATCTTCAAAACTAAAATGGAGACAGAAACTTAATACGTATACATACTTACTGAAACCCATATGGACATATTCATCACAAATATGCGGTATCGCTAAAAAGATCCACTTGCAAAAACTTCAAACCTTCCAATCAAAATTATTGCGACTCATAACAAAAGCATCTTGGTAGGTGGCTAACAAAACTCTACATACTGACCTCCACTTTCTAACAATTGACCATCATATAAGGGGCTTTTATCAACGATTTTCCACTGATTTAAACGGACATAATAACAGACTAATAAGAGACACGGCCACAGCTGACATACCTCAGAACATGAGGAGGAGACTAAAAAGGCGTTGGATGAGAGATCTATTCCTTAAACATCCTAAGTAATTGGAACAAGTTAGGGAAGAGGTACTGCTGGGTGCTTTCCTTCCCCATGCCTGCCATGTCATTATATCATTATCGCCAGCTCATTTGCTGATTGTCAACAAAAAGTTGACAGGCGCATATAGATATTTATAGACAAAAAAAATTAATTGATTAATTATTTTGTATATATCTGCGAAAATTAATTTGAAATAATTCAAGATATAAAGTAATCATATAATCGATTTATTATATTTTCTCTCCGGGGAAGAAGTAATATTTCTTCAAAATTTTATGGTCACTCTAATAGTTCTTTTCTCAAATACATCCTTCGGAGTTAGTCCTGTCACCTCCTTTAATGGAAATAGAAAAGAGACAAACGGTTTATTAGGTGTGGAAAAGTTGATATATTTATCATTTTGAAAATAGAAATAAGTTAATTAAAGTGACGTAATGACCTCGAGCGAGCTCATTACCGCATGGAGCGGACCGTCCCACGGGTGGCTGATGTGGGAATGATCGGTGGAAATTCCTCGGAAGTTTCTTTCGGCTAGGTCCGATGGACTCGCTGGCGAACAATGAGAGGGGACTTCCAGACTTGCTGGAGGGTGTGACGTAGGATTGAACGCCCTACACACATATTTGTAGTTCCCAAAATAACAAAACGTCATGGATCGTCATAAAGTTAAATACGGATAAGATAAAATACATGTTTTTTTTTTTAATTTATTTTTGTTATTTTAAATTTGCCACTGCGTTGGAACGCATCAAGCAAAAGTGTTGGCATTAATTATATCTTCTTGAATTCTTGATATTTTTTAACTTTTCAGCAGATCTCTAGGCTACTGCATTTTTAGTCGTCTTTGAGGTCCACCAGGTAACAGGGAGAGAGATAGAGATAGTACGAGTGGATTTGGATGATTGAGAGTAGAAGAGTGAAATGTTGTGTATGTAGGATTTTACTTTTGGTATGTTCATGTCTGTGTGTATGGTGTGATTTGAAATAATCCAATGAGCATTGACGATTTTACGAAGTATTTTGGATTGTATGGTTTGAATTTTGTTTATGTGTGTGTGTTTTGCGGAACCCCAAAGTTCTGCTCCGTATGTCCAAATAGGTCTTAGTATAGTGGTGTAGATTAGTCGCTTGTTTAGTAAGTTGAGTGGAGATCTGTAGTCTAAAAGATGTAACAGTTGTTTGTATCGTCTGGTCAGTTCTTGTTTTTTTAATTTAGTGTGAATGTTCCAGGTGAGTTTTTTGTATAGTCCGAGATACCGTACATGTTTTTTTTTTTCAGGAAACTGGTTTATTGTCTATTGTCACAGCAGGACACGAGATCTTCCTCAGGGAGAAGCTAACATGAGTTGACTTGCTGGGATTGATTTTAATTCTCCATTTGTGAAACCATTTTTCAAGGTCGTGCAGGTGAAAGGCTTACATAGAAGGGAAATAATGGTTAGCTGCAAAAGCTGCGACAATTTCGATGATATCGATATAGATAGGAATGTGTTTGAGCACGTATAGACTTTTAGGTATCTAGGGTCTGCGATAACTAGAAAAAACGAAATTGAAGAGAATATTAAGGTTAGGCTGAAGGCGGTAAATGCTTGTTATTTTTATTTGTCAAAACTACTTAGTTCTCGCCTCCTGTCCCGAAACTTAAAAATTAGAATTTGGAAAACCATTATCCTACCTACGGCTCTTTTGGATGTGAAACGTGGCCGCTTACATTAAGGGATGACCAACGTCTTAAGGTTTTTGAATGTAAAGTATTGTGTAGGATATTGGGACCGAAAAAGGACGAGTCAACCGCAGTATTTAGGTGGTTACACAACGCTAAATTGCGTGAACTATCCGGTTAATATAATTGAGGCGATTAGGTTGAGGCGAATAAAATGGCTATAAAATCGTTGGACTTCATTTATTGGACAGAGTAGCAGGAAAATTCCTTAAAAGTTAATATGCGCTGTACCGACTGGCAAGCGTCCGAGAGGTAGACAAAAGCGAAGGTGGGTAGATTGTGTTAAGGCTGATTTGGCGGGGTTGG